GTCATTGCTGTTCTGCCAGTTGGACATCACAGAAACGAATGGAATCAAAATTATTATGCCAACAAGATTGCGTTAGCTTGAATCATTCGATATGATGCTGTTAATGTTACTGTTTGTTGCAATAAATAAATAGATAAAAGAAGAGGGAAAAAAATTAGTTCGATATTCCTTTGCCAAAAAAAAGTTAATTAAGTTTTTAAAGAAAATTTTTGTACTGACTTTTCCAACAGCAACAGCAAAAAAAGAGGACTTAAAGATGACTAGAAAAAAAGAAAAAAATATTGGTTGTCATCGTCATTGTTTAAATGGAAAGCTTTTCAGTTCCGTGCGTTTTCACTTCAAAGTTGCTGAAAAAAAGTCTTTTGAACAAAAAGAGGATCTGCTTTTTCAAACAATTTTGCTTTTTGCATAATGTTTAATATTTTTCCCAATTGCTTTTACTGTTTTTTTTTATTGCTGGAGAACTAGGCTAATTATAAGAGTATAAAAGACGAAGAAAATGATGTTGTTGATGGAGTTGCTGTTGCTACTGCTGCTACTGACAATGATGATGGTGATGATAGTGATGATGATGATGATGTTGATGATGATGATGATGATGATGATGATGATGATGATGATACTGATGATGATGATGATGATGATGATGATGATGATGATGATGGGGAAGGAGGCAGAAAAAAGTAGGGGTTAGGGAAAAGTGGAGAAGGAGGAATGAGGGGCAAGAAAAAAGAAGAGAAGGCAGATTTTTTTTTTACTGATGAAAATTTTGCTTCTAATCATTTTTATAAAATCTTTTTTTTTTTTTGGTTTTCATATCATACGATCCAACGAGTTACTATTGGTGATACATAATTTTTTTCTTGTTAATTTCTTCGAAATGAGCAGCATTCAGATGATTTTTTAATTTTAGTTACCTATGGGTTTTTTGATGTATTTTTATTTATTTCTTAATGATTTTAAAGGCTATTATGATGATTCGTAACTTAATCTTTTTTTTTTCTAGAAAAAAAATTTTTTTTTCTGATACCTTATGATGATGTTCGTTAAAGGCTAACAAACACAGTAGTCATTGAAAAATTTGCTGCCGTTTAGGAGAAGATGAGCAAAATTAGGAGATGATGAGAGAGGGGTAGGGAAGCTGGATAAAAAGAAGACAAATTCAGTTGTTGGTTAACAGTGGTAGAAATATTTTTTACTGCTTTATATAGTTATAACTTATTATTACTGTTATTATTGTCATTATTCCTATAATTATTTTATTATAATTATTAATGATATTGTTGATTATTATATGGTAGTGTTAGTACTGTCGTTGTTGTCGTTGTTGCTACCGTTGCTGTTACCGCAGCAGTTTTAGTTGTTTTGTTGTTGTTGTCGTTGGTGTTGTTGTCGGTGGTGTCGTTGTTGTTGTTGTTGCAGTTTTTGTTGTTGCTGTTGTTGCTGCTGTTACTTCATATTGTTTATAGCTGTAGACGCTGACAAGGAACTGGAGCAGTGTTCCTATGACTCGGATATGAACGACGCTGCCTATTGCTGCGCATATTGTAACTCTATCTTCAGTAAGTTACAACTTCTCTACTATTCAATGTTTGAAAAACGAATTTTTTTTCTTCGATTAACGAAACTACCTTACATAACCAAAAATTCATTCGCCTTTTTTGATTTTGTTTTCGTTTTTTCTCTTTTTTTTTTTTTTTTTTTTTTTGGTTTTTTTTTTTTT